CAGTGGAAAGTTTTTATAAGAGATTTAATTAAGCTGTTTTATATATTTTCTGATTTTAGTTGTGCGTTGTATTTATTTATTTATTTTTCGGTGTATAAGCTATATTTATATTTTTGCTGCGTACTTATGTACTTTCATACTTTGCACTCACAGGGCCGCTGTTGCCCAGTGAGTTGATGTTGCCCGTGTTTTTTTTTAATATCCCATCCTCACATTGCTCAGACCTCTTATTTGGGCGCAGTCGCTCAAACACAAAGCACTCGTCGGATCATACATCTATTTGCGGATGTTTCAGTATGGAAATCCCTTTTTGAAGCTTGGAAACTTTTGCATCCTTTTTCATTTGATCCTATGGATTACTAACAAACTGAATATTTCTTCTCTGAACGGAAAGAAAGATCAAAGCATCTTTTTTTTTTTTTTTTTGGCTGCGGCTTCGAGCAGAACAATGGAACGGCAAGTAGCGCTCTTCTCCGTCCTCTGCCTCGGTTATGCGCTCGGTCAGATTAGTTATTCAGTTCCAGAGGAGATGCCAAAGGGCTCTTTAGTCGGAAACATCGCTCAGGATTTGGGTTTAGACGTAAAACGTCTGAGATCTGGCAAAGCTCGCCTGTACACGGGAGACAGCGCTCAGTTCATCGAGCTGAACAGAGACAGAGGAGTCCTCCTCATAAAGGAGAAAATAGACCGCGAAGCCCTCTGCAGACATACAACGCCTTGTGCTTTACATTTCCAGATCACTTTAGAAAACCCACTGGAGCTGTTTCCTGTCACCATCGAAATCACTGACATTAATGACAACGCTCCAGTTTTCCAAAAGGAGGAGAGGGTGTTTGAAATCAGCGAGTCTGCAGCGATCGGATCTAAATTTATGCTGGAGAAAGCAATAGATCCTGATATTGGGCTGAATGGTCTTCAGAGATACACTCTGAAACCGAGTGATAATTTTATTCTTAAATCTCACGCTCAGTCTGACGGAAGCAAAAAGGTGGAAATGATTTTACAAAAGCCTTTAGACAGAGAGAAACAGGAAGATATACGTTTAGTGTTAACAGCGGAGGATGGAGGAGAGCCGCAGCTGACAGGGACGATGATGATTCACGTCACTGTTCTGGATGTAAACGACAATGCACCTGTTTTTAGTCAAAATGTTTATAAAGCCAGCATTACAGAAAACTCAAGCAACGGGTCACTTGTTACCAGAGTGACTGCTTCTGATGCTGACAGTGGTGCAAATGCAAAAGTGTCGTATGTAATAGGAAACAGCATGGACACTGCTGCAAAATTATTTCACATTACTGATGAAGGTGATGTAATTCTGAATGGAGTTATTGATTATGAAAAAGAGAAAAAATTACACCTAGATATAGAAGCAATAGATCTAGGTGGATTATATGATTCGAGCAAGATTTTGATTGATGTAATTGATGTAAATGATAATAGCCCAGCTATTAATATGATATCAGCATCAGGCTCAATACCAGAAAATTCAGCCCTAAAAACAGTTATAGCATTATTGAGTGTAAATGATCCAGATTCTGAACATAATGGAAAAGTAAACTGTATGATAAATGAAAATATGCCCTTTGAAATTAAATTTACTTCAAATAATTTCTACAGTTTAGTGACAGACAGTGAGTTAGACCGAGA